ATTAATATTGATAATGCAGTCTGTTAAAGGTTAAACACAAGAATGCACATGAATTTTTAACAGAAAAATGCTCAGCTTTATGGAGGGTAGAGGTTGAATGTCAGTGGCCCACAATAAACAAAACAAAGACTTGGTTAGAAAATGAAGGGCCAATGTTTATTGATGCACGTAGATACAAAATGCCGAGGTATAGAGAATGGTCAACCTCAAGTCAGCCTAATGTTGAGTGAGGGTGAATGAATTTCCTTTTCATTGGGATGCCTACCAAACACATCCAAACTCAATGGTTGGAAAGTGAGAAGAGAATGATTATCTCCTTTCCAGAAGTGAGGTCATAAAATTCACATGTGAACAGAAACACTTTTTGCATTATGGGATGATGAAATTCTTTACTTATTATTATTTTCATTCTCCTACAGCTTTATTATAAAGTATGTTATTTGAAGAGTATAAAATTTCTAATGACTTAATAATTATGCATGTCTAAAAGCTGAAACTGCAGATTAATAATTTGATATATATTTTAAATGCTGTGTAATTTTTATCTTTCTCTGTAAATTAGGTTATGAAATTTTAAGTTAGTATACACTTAATAGGGGTATCATATCCTATTAATAATTTTCAATAAAAGGGGGTTTTATTTTATCTGAAATTGATTAATTGATACAGTGTGTTCTAATAATGTGTCTACTATAATTTGAATCTGTCTCATTTGTTCATTTAACTAAATCTTAATTTATATAGATTTTTAAAGTTTTTCTTTACAAACACTACAGTTTCATTTATTTTGAAATTTGTTAAATTTATCTATATCTTTAGAGATAGATTGTATCTGTTAAATGTATCTGTATCTATAGAGATAGCATGTATCTGTGTCTACAGAGATAACATATATCTGTGGCTATAGAGATAAAGCCATTTCAATAAGCAGATGAGTCTGACAGCAATTTGATATATGAATGTGATTTTCTTGTTTTTTTTTCTTTTTTTAATCAATACTGCCAGTCCTTATTTTACAGAAGTTTCACAACTCTTACAACAGCTGTTATACAAAGTTGAAAAGTCTGTGGCTATTTACCATCAACTGATTTCCTTAATTTGTGTGTGCAGATATTGTAATAATACAAAGTTTAATAGTCACATACCAAAATGTCATTGAAACAATTTGTGTAACAGCCAATGACATTCCATTGTAGTTGTAGTGGTAGAAAAACAGCACAATTCGTTGTTCTATTGTTAATAGTCTTTGCTTTATTCAAATATAAAATGGTAAGAAAAAAAAATGTCTGGATTGAACAAGGGACAGATCATTTAAATATTTCCAGCTGTGTGAGCTACAATGCAAAACACTGGGTACTTGAAAAACATAGTATGGCCTCTGTGTGAATGCTCTACTGTGCTGCTCATATTTATATATTTGATACCCGGCCAAATCCACATCAGTACATAACAACATGACCATAGTTATGTGATTCTACAATGTGTCATTAGTTCTGTGATTCTGAAATATTTTGTCTTCTTTTAATCACATCTTGTTACCAAATATAAGTACTGTATCCATGACCCTCTTTGGTGAAAAAGCTTTGCTAAATATATCATTTACAAATTCAAATGCACTAATATAATTACAAGTTTACTATATTCATTATGTGAGTGGCACTAGTTAGTTTATCTATAGTTTATTTTACTTCTTATAAGATGTTGTGGAGTGATTTTGCAGTGGAGGCTTGTATTTGTATTAAGTCGGTCCTAAAATAGGTTCAACGTACAAAACGTTAGGTACTTGATATAATAGGCATTACGCAGAGTAATCTTGTGGTGGTCGCTGATACTTTCATATTTGACTAACTGTCGTCCAACATTGACTCACTGACTGACTCACTTGTTACTCTTACTACTCCTACTTATTATAGGTGGGAGAGTCTATTAACTATAGAATAGGTGTGTTCCACCATAACATAAGACTTTCTGAAAATTGTCACCATTTTATTGTGCTTCACTAATTACTGGGCCATAGTATTTTAGGTGTATCACTAACCATTTATTATTAGAAAATATTATCTGACATCATGTTGTGTTTTATGGGGTTGCAAGTATGACCAGAGTTAACTTCCAAAAACATGTTTACAGCTTCTGGCTGTTGAAAAGAGTTGTCGAAATAGCAATGAATTTATGGAAGGATGAGGGGGTGAAAATTTGGCCTTGTACAAATATTCATCTCATTGCCAATGAAAAAAGAAAGAAAACAATGAAGGCAGATAAAGCGTACATCCAAAATTTTTGTAACACAGAATTTATTGAGGTTATTTATAAAAATTGTTTCTTCTTTTTGAGTCCAGTTTCTTCTTCTGAAGACAGTTTTTGCATAATAGGAAACAAACTAGATACAGAAAGATTTCTTAATAACTTCAACTCAGACTGTTACATTTGGCTGCTACCCAGATTATCACGCAGACTTCTTGGAATCTGAATAATTAATTGATATGTTGTCTTCTATTTATTCCTTATGCATCAATGTAATAGTAGACAAAAAATGTGTGCAAATATTTAACAGAAAACTGCTTGGATCTATTCTAAAATGTGTTACTTGAAGAGTATAAAATTTCTAGTAACTTAATAAATATACATTTTTAAAAGCTGAAACTTTGCAAATTAATATATTTTGAAAGTTGTGTAATTTTGAACTTTCTCCACAAATGATATTAATTAAATTTGACTTTAAATTAGTATCCACTTAGTAAAGGTATCATATCTTAATAATTTTCAGTAAAAAGATATTTTTATTTTGTCTGAAACTGATTAATATAATATCTTCTAATACTTTATCTGCTATTAGTTGAGCCTGTTTAATTTGATCATTTTACCAAATCTTGATTTATAAGAATTTTTAAAGTATTTCTTCACAAACACCACAAATCAATATCTTGATGTTGTATATTGTTTTGTACATTTAGAATAATCTTAATAAATTATTTTGCAATGTTAAATTTTACTGCTGTATCTATTTTAAATGTGGTAATTCTTTGATTGTCTCATCTGAAACAAATTTAACTTCTACTCTATATTGTTGAATCTTCAGAAATATGTTTATATTGCTAATCTATTATATAGTTATGTAAATAAAAAAAGGGACTATAATTTTCTTCCAAAAATTAATTAGCTAGTATAAAACTGAACATGCAGAAAAGTTTGAGTGTATATTTTCTATTTTCTTGTTTATCATATTCCTTGAAAGTATCAGAATCATCACTGGAGTATAGTTTTGCTTCTTTGGTCTTAAGTGATTTTCAGATCAATGATTAAAGATGGCTTCAATTGAATGAAGCTTGTAGATCTTAGCAAAGACTATCGTTCTTCAAACCTTGTGGACTGGTGCTACAGAATCACAAACAATGAACAGTATCAAATAACATAAACTATATTTCTTGAGTACTTTCAACAACAGCAACAACTCTAATGGATATCTCTTGTAACTGAAAGAGAAAATAATGATATAATAAAGATGTTGCCATCCACCCTAATTCCAACAAAAGGTTAAGAAGGAAAGAGCAATAATAGTAACTGAACTTGAGAAATCTATTTTCCTCTAAAAATTGTTTTAATAGAAAGATTTTATAAATTTCAATCAAAAGTAGCAATGGATGTTCAGTCAATGAATTCCAAATATTTCAAAATAAGGAAATTATTCTCTCTCATTAATAATATTTTTTCTCATATTGTCTCACATTCAGTCTCACATCTTAGTAGCTTTATTGCCTTGCTTGTGGTGAAATGATTAAAAAAAAGAAAAAGTTTGGTTTGTCTATTCTGTAACAATTCTTTACTCAGTTGATGCAGAAAGGTGTTTTAGTTTTTCTTTTGCTGTCTTTGTGAAAATCTTCATAAAGGCAATTCACCATGACCTTATCACCATTTTTGACAGGCAAATTTTGTATTTTGCAAAATATGATACTTAAATTTTTCACCTTGTAACATAATATATTTTTACATCATCAAAGTTCAAAACACATCTAACAATGTGAAATCTATGACATTACCAATTGCAAGAAGACTTAAGAGAGAATTAGTTCAAATTCAATTTGTTCTTTGGAATTTCTTAAAAAAATGTTTAAGACAAAGGTAAAAGAGCTCATTGCTCACTGTAGGGATAAATGGTTTGCATACTTTCAAAAATAGACAAAGTATGAAATACTTAGCTTTCTTGGATTGGTGAGAGAAAATTCTTTGAAGTGCCAAGTGCTTAATGTGAATTAATTTATTAGTGAAACAAAAGAAATTATGATTGGATAAAAATAATGTATTTGTAAAAAAATATTGAATTTATTTTAAAAATTTTTGAAGTACTTGATTATAATGTACTTACAAAAATGTTGGTGATGATCTTTAGGAGAGGTTTTAGAAATTTAAACTTCTAAAACTCCTTTTTTTCTGGCTTTTAATTTGATCGAATAGGACAATTTTAAGGTGAACAAAAATTTAATTATCAAAAGAATAATGACGGTTGTTTTATTTATCAAAATGTGAAAAAACGGTAAGTAGAGTAATTTCAAAAATTAAAACATATCGTCCCTGGGTGGGCTCGAACCACCAACCTTTCGGTTAACAGCCGAACGCGCTAACCGATTGCGCCACAGAGACGAGTCGGACACGAGGATGACTATAACTATATTTATAGAAAAAATACTATTTATTTTACTAAAATAATTTTTATGATATATTTTTCTTAAATTAATAGAACATCACTTATTATTGAATTATTCTGTTGGTTGTAAATAAATTAAATTAAATTATGACGAACTTTTTTCCTCTTTGTTTTGAACTTGCAATATGTTTCTTCATCTATGCGAAGAACTCATTTTACTGTGGAGATAACAAAGTTGTAGTAAAGATACAAGATGGCGGTTGGGCCATGTGTTCGTGTTTGTCTTCACTTCTCCGATCTTGATCAGGAAACTTGTTGGTTTTTGGTAGATTTTAAAAAGATCCCGACAGTCGAGTGCATGCAGCGGATGATCGGTCGAAAGTTTTATAAAAGTGAAGAAACATCGTTTAAGCTGACGTTGAAAGGAAGTTTGCTGCCGGCCTGGGAATCGTCTTTCATTCTGCGAGACGATGATCAAATCATGTAAGGTCGACGTGTTTTTTTTATCCTTTAAATTATTTTGATATAGCGGGAAAAATAATTTTGATTTAATATCCTTTTAGTTTATGCTATTTAACATAGTGTTGTTTTAAGTTTTTTTATTCATATTTATACATTTTTTATGGGCAAAAATCTATTCAATTGTAAAAAAAAGAAAAGAAAACCTACATTGTATTTATTTTATGCTTTTACTTAGAATATTTCAGTTTCCAGTGTGATTTTATTTTCTATGTTGAAGTTATGTATACATTATTGATGAATTAATTGCTATTATTATTTATTCGAGTATAAATTAGAGCTCAATAGTCCACATACAGATATCTGTTTTGTTTGCTAAATAAATAATTAATAAAAAAAAGTTAATTGTCATTTAAAAATTAACACACTAAAAATATTAGTCTGATTAACTCGTCGTGATAGGCAACTCTGACAAAAAGTGTTTTTATTTTTTACTTATAATGTCATACATTTTTAGACATTTGAAGAAATGTTCCTAACAAAAGCTCGAGATGTTGTCATGTTAAATAAAATTTCTTATATAATTTCATAACAACGCTAACAGGTATAGGAACTTAACAGTATTTTGAAAATTATTTTTACAGAATAGATAGATAAATGATTTCAAGTAATTATAACTTTGGGCAAATTTGGCGATATTTACTTTACTACTGAGAATAAATTCGCCCACGCATGTACATGACCTTTATGAATATCAGCATATACTGAATAGAAACAAAGTTGCCAAAATAGACTAATCATACCACTAAATTAATTTATTAGTAAAAATCCTTTAAAACAATGTGCCTGGGATCTATTTAGTGTGGGGAGATAAATTATTGATAAAAATGTAATAAACGTTTTAGGCTTAAATAAGTTGACGTATTTTAGACGAACATATTCAACATTGAGTGGCCTCCCTTTGTCATTCCTCAACTTTATTGCAACGAGTTCTAACCAAACTTGGATGGAAATATTAAAAATTAATTTAAGAAATTTTATATAAATAATCTCGTTATGTAAATATGTGTTAAATACATTCACTTGTTTACATATTGTGTTAGATTCGATCTTCATAGCTATGTCAGTACTGTTTGAATTTTTTTTTTACAAAGTGATATTTCCATGTTAACTTTTTCTTTCCTTAAAAAAGTCGACCAGAAAAAAAGATATCAACTATATGTTTTATTAAAAATAAATAAATGTTTTTATTTGTAAAAGAAAGCTTACAAATAAACTCGCGCTCTGCTATATATAAACTAAATAATTGATATGAATATTTAGTATTTTTATTACTTTTTTTTATTCATGACGAAACTAAAAGAAACATTGTTTTTGTTTTGATCACTTGCGAAGAAAAATAATTAAATTTATCTGTAGTAAGTAGTCACTTGGTTTTTGAATGTTTCTTTATAGTAAAAATGTATTTCTCCATAAACACCACAACTATTTCTACGGTAGATACTTTTTGCTTGGCTCGTTGAAGTTTTTTACACGATATGTTTTTTTCTTTCTTCTCATTCTGCCTGCTATCACATTTTTTTTTTGTTATATTTTTATTTTAATAATCATGATTTTTAAACAGATGAAATTGATTTGAAATAATGGAGTGGCACAATAAACTTGGATTGTTTGAGCTGGTATGAACATTTGGTTAACACACGTAGTGAATGTTTGAAATGGTCGTACCCCAGAGAATACACCTGGTTTCAAGCGATCATTACAATTAAAAAAAAAAAAAAAAAAAGCTTTTAAAATTAAAAGTAACCCTTTTTAACCTTCCTTTTTAAAAGGAATACCTAATAATTTATGCAGATTGACAGTGACATATCCAACGATAATGGATTGAAAAAATTGTTTTCATAGAAAACAATAACTTTGTCAAAAAAGATTTATTCTTTTCTTTTGTTTTTACTTTTTACTTTAACTTTCCCTACACCTGAATTATTAAACATTCTTGAATCTTGCATAAACTGCTTTAGGTGGGAGGATATTCAACTGACAACGCTTAAGGGAGAGAGTGTTACTGTTCAAATATGGTCAATTTTGTCGGGTAGGTTGCTTAAATGACCCCCCCGCAATATATTCTTTCATTATCGTCAGTGAGAAAGGAAAACGAAAACACGTTCAAAGTTTCAGTAATTAATAATAGCAGTTGTGTAAATAATGCGCGCTTTTACATTTAAGACTGTAAGTACATTCATTACTCGACGCGAAAATAATTATTTGGATTTATGATTAATCATGTGAATGACTACTGATCACATCAAAGCAGAAAGTGTAGAAATTAAGTAAAAAACTCTAACTTGACATTGGGTGTGAAACCCAAAGAGGGAGAGTGCTTAAGATTTTTTTTTTTTTTTTTTTTTTTGTATGTTTTTTGCTATTCTTACTATTTTCCTGGCCATAAGAATAATACTTGTTCTCCAAAAACTTAAGACTAAGAGATTTTTACAGGCACGGTAATTTGAATTTTTTTATTTGTTCACAGTTCACTCGTTTGAATTCTGTCGAAAATTATCGATGCTTGGAGGAACCATGCTGTTAGTAACCAGCATGGTTCCTACAGAAACAGAGGAAGAATGATAATGATTTGGAAACGTGTTGTCAGCCATGAATTAATAATGGTTTTTTAATCCACCCACCTAAAAAACAATCTGAGGGAAAGTGAAACTGATTTGATATTGAATAGACACTTATTTCTGCTTTTGACTCTTAGAGTTGTTGAATATAGTTGAGAAGAGTAAGACCTAGGTCACCTAAGTTAAAAGTTACTTTAAAAAAAAAAAAAATACAAAAATTGTAACTGTGATTTCTAAACAAAACATTAATCTGAAACTGAATTGAATGCAATTTTTCACAATAGAATTAAAGTCTCGTGATTTCTATTTTTGCAGTGCATCTGTCATCATTGATGACATTATTAATTTTTTATTAATAATTTTTTTATCCCCCCCCCACTTTTTTCCGGAAGTTTTCTCCGGTCAGCCATTGGTTTGTCGTTGACGTAATTCAACATATAATTTGTAAAATTTATTCACAATTCTTTTATGAAATCAGTGAGTGATAGGCAAGAAGATACATTCATGGATTAAAACAAAACAAGGAATAATTTAAATATTATTCCTTCTTGTCCTGAATTAGTCTCCCTGCTGAAATCTTTTTTGGTGCTGCCTGTGTCGTGTTTTTGCTATTATCAATAAGTTAGAATGACTTGATAAGTTATGCAAAATAATTAACCCTTTGGAATTCATATCAGAAATTATCAATTTCTCATGGAGACACTTTTTATGCGTTTACCTACTCTTATTTAGAATTACACTTCTTTTTATGGTAACGTTTCATTGTCACAAAAAAAGCGTTACCTCAGGTTTAAAAAAAAACATTTTTAAAATGAAAAAAATCTTTCTTGAAGATTTCAAGTTAATAAATATTTCCAATCAAAATACTTTGCTGTATTTCAAATCGAATTTAAATTGATTGGAACGATTTTTTTGTTTGAAATCGTTAAAATCTGTCATATTGACAAATCTGTCAATACAGCATAATTCTCTTTATTAAAAATAAAATATATTTTTCTGAAACATTATTTTTTGAAAGATTAATTGATTTAAAGTTTAATTAATTTGAATTGACAAATACTTGCTTTTAGTTTAAAACATCACATAAAACATTTTTTAACATGGAGCTGGGTGTTTTTTATGAGGTGTTGACAGATTTATCAATAACTTGATGTTTGGCATTTTTCAGTACAGGGCACATAACTGTAAAAATTATTTGATGAATACAACGTGAATGCCTTTTTTATATTTTAAGTACGCAGTAATCTTAAAAATTTAATATTTTATTGAATTTTAGGTACTTTGGCTTTATATCCTTACTTACAAAGACACTTGTTGAGGAAATATTAGAAAATTACCAATAAATTATAATTTTACTATAGTTACCACTCTTATTTTCTGATAATGTCATGTATGTGTGCCAATATTTACAAAAATCAGCACACAAAAAAAAAATTAAATTCTTTTTAAAATACCAGGAGTTGCTGAATTGTAAGCTTTTCCATTTATAATTAGTAAATATAGATTTTACTTAATAACAATATCACCTGACTGCTACAAAGTTTAACTCCTTCTGTTGTAAAAATTCATTATTCATCAAAAAAATTATTTTCTTAAGTTGATAGTGTCCATAATATATTTTATTCATACACGCAAAAGCTTTTAAAATTTAAATTAAAATTAAATAACGTCTTAGTTTTATTGTATTTTTATTTTCTAATTCAGAGCAGATTTTTCTGTAACTGCAGGTTCTGTTTTACTAAATAAATTATATGATTTACCAAGATTTAAAAAAAAAATTACTTAAATAATTCAATTCATTTTTTAATCAGTTCTGAAAGTTTCATTAAAATCTATGAATTATCTGATTTTTGCAAGAATTTTCAAACAACTGTATTTTTCATTGTAAAAATATGCTAAAACTTCATATACTAATTTATGGTCACCCAATGATGCAAGAAAAACAAAATTTTTAACCAAAATTTTAAGGATTCTAAAAATATAATTTAATAATCAAAAAATCCTTTCTCTTAATAATATTATAATACAAAATCAGACAATATCCAAGTAAACAGGAATACTGAAACATATATATTGGATTGGAACAAAAGTTTGTGATGTTTGAACATATGATTTCATTTCACATGTGACTGAATTTTATGACATAGATAGATATTCTGAAGGGTGTCCTTTCAACATGTCTTTCTATATGATTCATATGTGGATTGTGAATTTTAAATGTCTATGTTAAAAGTGAAAATAGAAGATGCACTTTTATTTCTGGAAAGGTGCAAAAATGCTGAACAAACAGCAGAAAAGATATGTGCCATTTATGAAAATGGTTCCATAGCTGAGAGTACTAAGTTGTTCACTAGGTTCAGAAATGGAAATTTTGATCTGAAAGATACTAATTCAGGCAGATCT